TAAATTAATTTATTATGAATATTTCACCTTTTTACATGCTTAATATAATAATGATTTACTCCTCCACTTTCTCATTTACATGTTTAATATAATAGTGATTAATTCCCTCACTTTCCTATGTTTCTAATGGTGATTTATTCTTAATGTAACTCTTGTAACTCTTAATGGCTGATTAATTATTCTTAATTGTAACCTTGTAACTCCTACCACTTTATTACCCTACCCCATGCATAGGGCTTGTTAGTGTATGGGAATGGTGTGAAAGAATGAAGAAAAATAACAAATTCTTCATGCATGGTTTCTTTGCCTTCTTTGTCTTTCTATTTACGGTTTTACACTTTTCTTCTACCTGTTTTCTTTATTGCGAGCTGAGCTGAGCTGTGCTGAGGTATCAGAATGGTCGGACGTGCAATGGGCCTGGGAACAGAACGTATTTTGAAATGGAAGATATAATTCAACCAAGCAAACAAGCTACTACTCTATAAAGCTGAAACAAAAAAAGGTGTTGATATTTTGGATGTACTGAGTAAATAAATCAACCAAGTACATAATACCAATAATAATAATAATAAGACATGACAAAATGTATGATATGAATATGCCTCATATTATGTGGTTGCCGCCAATCCCACATAAAATGACAAAGTATACAGAATGAGTGCAAATATGAAGACCAGACTCTATGACAATTATAATGACAATTGACAAAGTAATGTAACCCGTGCAATGATACTTTTTGGACACCGGATTCTGGTGATGTGATCAAATCAAAATATAAGACGACCAGCCAAAGATGAAGAAAAAAAAAAACTGAGGCAGGAGGAGTATGACCAACCGCGGCTATTGCATCCACCACCACTCAAAATTTGCTCTTCACCAACCCTGTTTGAAACATGAGCAGGGTGTGACTGGGGATCTCCCTTATCTCATCCCCCAAACTAATTCCTCCTCATCTCTATGCACCTCTTTCATCCATTTCTGCCAAGTCAGCAGACGGCTGTGCAGGTCATCACCACCAACTTCCTCCTCCATGCCACCATAAACAATGAAATCTAAATAATTAAGGAAAGACTCGATGCTGCTGATGCAAAATACTGGCAGCAGACCGACCAAACATCTGCACCCAAAACGGCGATGACCTGACTCATGATATGCATTTCCAGACCCAACTCGACACACCCAAATGCATGCAAGACTACGTACATGAGTAACGATGGCCTCAAAAAGAAGTGGCTTGGCTTATTGCCAACTTAGACCATTCTGCAGATTCCTTGACTAAAGGATCATCTGATGACAAACATTCCATTAAAAACTCTTTGCTTGACACAGATTGCTGAAGCAAAGGTCCTGCACTGGTACCAAGTGTATCAGCTAAATCTCCAAGGACTCCAATTGCTGTCTTAGTTACTGCTTCATCCCTGAAGGATCAAAATAAGTCAGATACAGAGAATAAAATTCACAACAAATAAAAAAATAAAAAAATAAAAAATAAAAAGAAGAAGAAAAGAAAAGTCGTAATGGTACATAATTCCTAAAGCTTACATGTCTTTTTCCATGTATAAGCTATCTAGGAACCGCAGGATGTGGGGTGCATATGGCATCAACAGCTGTGTCTTAGGAGATCCCTTAAACCCTTGAAAGATCCCAGAGTATGCCTCCAATATTCCATTTCTCAGAGAATTGGTGTATTCTGTCATATCATCATCAGCACCTGTTATGTGGACTGATAACTCTGCTGCACCCTGAAGCATGGGCATAGCATATACCAAGTACTTTTCAAAATACTCCCCAATTGCTAAAGCAATATCCCCAAAACAGGAAAAGATGGGAGGCTTCACAGATCGGTGTAGCTGATTGCTTGACAAATTCTTGAGAAGTTGGGTCATTATTCCATCACAATAAGGCAAAATCTTGTCCTCAAGAGCCCTGCATAGATCCCCTACCACACCAACAGTGATAGCACAAACCTGGTAATCCTCAAAATTTTGGAGACCCATTTCCAAATACCTGTAGAACTCTTGCATGTATTTTATAAAATCAGAGCCAGTTGCATAGGCTAAAGCTCCAATTGCCAGCATGGCCTCTTCATGTGCAGTGGCACTAGGGGAAGCAAACACTCTAAGGAAAAGGGACATCATTTGATCAGCAAACTGCATGAAGACAAATTTTGTCTGCTCAGATGAACCTAGTTTCTGTATAATAACCATCAAGCAACCACAGAGAAGACCTTGTAATTCATTTTGCTTCTCCCTTTCATCAGATGAAAGCCTCTGTCCCTCAAGAGTCTGGTGAAGCTCCATCATAATATGTGGAACGAGTTCCATCACCATTGGAGCTGTCTCATCAGTAGAACACCTTACAACTTCATTTATAGTCTCGTATGCTGCAGTTCTGAGACGTGACTCCCCAGCATCTTGTCGGTGTGTGACTGTAAGTAGAGTCTGAATGATCTCTTTGAAGAAGGAAGCGAGAGATGAAGATGATGATCCTCCATCTTCGTACCCTTGGGCTAGGAAATACAGAGCACCACAGGCTTTCTCAGCAACGTTTGGAACATCTTTCATGCTCTGAAGCAGAACAGTAACAATCCGTTGGCAATTCTCTGGAGTAATAATGGGTGTGTCCAGAGCTGACCCATGCAGAAACTCGAACATTCTTCCAAGCGTCCATGCAGTAGTGTCCTTCACATGGTTATTTGGATCTTTCAATAAAGCATTAAGCATGAAGTTCAGAGCAGTGTTAACAACAGGTATGAGCTTGTCAGGTGAGGGACCTTCCAAGATAGAACCAAATGCATAAGTGGCTGCTTCTCTCTGTCTCCAATCAGGTTTTGTAATATTTTCTTCAATGAAAGGCATCACAAGTGGGACAATATCATCTCCAACAGTCCGTGCTACCAATCCCAAGCATGTGCCCCCAGCCATTGCAATATTCCAAACCCCTTCATCTTGATCTTGATCCTCCTCTTGCTTCAATAAGGTCTCCAATAACATTGGAACAAGAACAGGGAGGGCCTGCTTGATGAAGTAAAAACAAGGAATATCAGAATCCCCACTAAAATCCCCGCCATATTCTTCCAATATATCTATCTCTTCATCACAAATTGAACTCCAAAACTCAATGGCTTGAAGAGCAACGGGCTCCTCATCTTCTTTCACAGCCTTCGCAGTGATGTTGAAAATGTCTTTCATATAGGGAGCCAATTTTTCATAGTAGGTTGAAGATATTGCAACCAAACACTCAAAAGCTGCCTGTCGAATCTTCAAGTCCGGAGAAAGAGTAGCCTCACACACTACTCGCATGATGTAGTCGCGTTCCATATCATTGGAAAAATTTAACTGAGCAAAACCAAGAGCATTACATAATGCTCGTGTAGCAGCAAGCCTGACATCATTATTAGCCTCAGAAGAGTTCATACCTTGGACAACAGCTGTGAGTATCTTATTTACATGGTCCTGCTCCACCACATCTGGGGAAACTTCTTCACATATATACCCAAGAGTTTCAAGCGTGGCCTGCTTGGTATGAGCTGGAAGCTGATGAATATTCGACAAGAGAACCCCTAAGAGCTCAGGCCACTGTTTATTAGGCAAATCAATTCCTGCTACCTTTGCTATAACTTGTGATGCAGTAGATCGAGCATCATGAGCAGTAGATGAAAGGGTTTGTAACAAGAAAGCTTTGATCTGGGCTTTTGCAGAGGCATCCAATGTCAACCATCTTTGTACAAGCTCAAACTTGCGGTGCTGTTCTTTGGCATCCAACGCATTTTTGAGGATCAAGCCTGCTAATTTGCGACTCTCTACCGGCTTGTCATTGTTGGCCAATTCCCCAGCAAGGGAAACCAAGAAAGCTGGGAGGTTTTGCTCCTGGAATTGTTTTATATTTTCTTCTGCCTGTTTGCGAACAGAACTATCAATTGATTGTGCATTTAGAAGAATTTGAGTCACCTCCATAGCCATTAGAAGCTGCAGAAAGAAATCCAAATCAAACAGTTGAAGGAAGTAAGTGATGTGCAAGAGGAAGCTAGCTTAAACACCCAAACCCTAACCTAGATTCACGAAATCTAATCAATGTTTCACTACAGTGTCCCTTTGATACTAAGCCAAAGATTTGTGTAATCCAGAAAAGCAAAAACTCGAAACAAAACCAAAATCAATAGTAATTCATTAAGCTTTTAAAATAGAATCAAAGAACTCTTCTTTCCTATTGCGTCTAAACAGTTAAGAACTGAAGTTAATGGAGTACCGTAAGATGAAGAGTTATGCCATCAAACAAACAGTAACCAAAGAATTGCTCGAGATCTAAGGCCGAGAAGAGAAGACTCAATCATAAACAGAAATTAACTCGGATGCAGAAATAACTAGAATACCGATTCGCAACAAAACTAGAGATAAAGGTCGAAACAACCAGAAACTGAAATTAATCATGGAGGAAAGGAGGCGGATACCTACGACGAGAAAACGAGTTGACTCGTATCAGCGGCGAGTTTCCGATCGAGTCGAGGTTGAAAAAGAGAAGAAGCAGCTGCGACTCCCGTAACCCTAGCAGAGGCAGAGTGTACCAAAGCTCCTCGGACCTCCCAGGAAACAAAAAAATATACTCAAATTCAATTACAGTAAAAAAAAAAAAAAAAAAAAGTGAATTTTCTATTCTGGCTTTCAGGTGCTACCACGCGAGTGTTGGCGCGTTTAAAACGGCTTTGACTGGTTTGTCATTGGGCGACCTTGGATTTGATTGGTTAGTGTGTTACACGGATTTCCATGAGAGTGGGGTTAGAAATCTGAGTATTTAGTATCATTGCAGTTGTTCGATGCAACATTGCCCCGACCGGAACCTTTTTTGTTGTAGTATGGTTATTGCTCCTCTCCTCTTTTTTTTTATTTTTTCGTTTTTTTTTAAACAATATTATCATGGGCACTTAGGTTTCGAGAGGAGTGGTGTCAGGCCACGTATAAGTGCATTCTCTTATTCTCAGAGTAATGATTTGAATTCAATCCTTGTAAATTTATTAAAAATATATATATATATATCATGAAACGAATTTGAACCCATCTAAAGGAAGCGGATGCATCTCAGAGGTGATCAGAAACCACTTGACCTGAAGAGTTTGGTACTATTTATTTTTCATTTTATTTATTGTTGGAGTTAGTTGCTTATCTTTCACAAGCA